AAAAAACTCAAAACTTTATCGCAAGATAAAGGAAAAATTGGAAAGAAAAAACGCAAAGCCAAAGTAATAACAAACAAGAAAAATGAATACAAAAAAAGCATTGGAAGAAAAAACACCGCTGCTGTTTCAGCTCATTTGTTTGAGGTGAAGGACAGTCTCATGATCGGAGGCCGGAAGACAACGTGGCAAAGACTGCGCCCACGGCTCCGGTTACTCCAGCAGCGCATGCCGGTCCACTGGGTGGAAAAGTAAAAATAAAATAAAATAAAAATCTACAGGGATGTGGTGGGAGGGCACGAAAATAACGATCTCGATTGAATCAAAAACGAGACACAACCGAAGCAAACACTCAGACTATCAGTTTGTATGGAAATACAGAAAAAACATGAGAGCAAGAGATAGACATTAGCGTTGCAGCAAACCAAATGCGATCATACCCGCTTGCCCTTTCAGAGTTTATATATAGAATAAACAAATTACAAAAATTTTTCCCTCCACAAATTTCCCCCTCAAAATCCACATCGCCCTTAACAGAAAACAATTCCTCTCTGACACTCTTGTTCCCCAGAGCCACGCCCGTGGGAAAGCCCGCTGCCCATCACGCGTGTCGTTGGGAAGTCCCTTTGCCGTTGGGAAATATCGAAGTGCGTGTCCGTTTATTTTCTTTTTTTTTCCTTTTTTGAACCTTCGGACATTGCAGCATTTACCCTCCGCCACCTCCCATTATCAGGGATATCTCGTGAGATTTTCTACTTGCGCACATCACCATACTGGATCAAGATTGCGCAAACGAGATGCTGCGGGCGTGGCATGGTGTAATTGGGCACCCCTTTGGGTGAGGAATAATGCCCCTGTTATCATCCATCTCGCAAAATTCCCGCAGCAATGGAGCAAGATTCATTTCTAAACAGTTATCCCTTACCGAAAATGAAGAGCGTTACCGAAGAGGGTGGGTTTGGAGGGTGACGCAATCGCCTGGGCGAGCCCCCAAGTGTGTAACGGATGCGTCTGCCCAAATAAATTCTCTCACTTTTTTGTTTTATCGGAAACAAATGGGCGCCAGAGACCCCCACTCTAAAATTTGATCTCGAACACGGCGCCTTCTTCAAGTAGGGAAAAGAACGGGATGAGGCGTTACAGAATATTGATAGAGAATTGTTTAGACCGTTTGAATGGGGTCATTTTTTTTTTTTTGTGTGTGTGTGCGTGGGCCGTCGTGCGAAATGCAATCCCAATAATGCAGGAATACTTCCCACTCCGTGCAAAGTTATAACTTGAACAGGGCAGTTTGCTTTCCCACGAGCGTGGCTCATGGGAACAAGAGTCTCAGAAGAGAATTGTTTTGGTGTTATAGGGTGAGGTGAATTTTGAGGATGAAATATGAAACGGTCTTTAAAGTTATTACGTTGTGATATATTTGTTTGTTTTATATACAAACTCTGCAAGCTCAAGCGCATATCATCGCATGTAACTTATTGCAACGGTAATGTCTATCTCTTCTCTCTTGTTTTCTGTGTTTTTACACAAACTGATAGTCTAAGTGTTTGCTTCGGTTGTTTCTACTTTTTGATCAATCCAGATCGTTCTTTCGCGAATGCCGAGCACGGAGAAGGGTGTCGAACTACCACCGGCTGACTTCAGCAGGTTTAGTGCAGAAATAATCGCCACTTTTCAACGCGACAGCCTATATAAAACAGATCCGCGGAGCCAACAAGCTGACAAACATATTCAACGGCGCAACGTTTTAAAAGCCATTGCGAAAAAACCCGAGATACGGGCCTTGTTACAGCAGGCGTTAGTAGAAAGGATGAAATCCAACAATCCTTTTTCACAAGAGGTGAGTTTCATTCTCATGACGCTCCTGTACAGCGGATCGAGCCATCCGCACATTATGCTGGCTGACATGCTGCTCAACATGTCCGCTGAGGAGCGCCTCGCTACGCACAATTGGTGGGTATATCAGAATGCAAATGAACTTATACAGGATTCTATGTCAACAGCCGTCGCGTCCGGCAACCTTATATTCCCTCTCTTTCCAGGCAAACAAATGGACACCCAGAATAGGTGCATGATGGACGAAGCTGTTGAAGTACAACGACCGCCAAATACGGGGGCGACAAACATGGAAGCACTACAGTTCCTTTACCCGAAAAGCCGCGCCTTTTTCGCCCAATCTCCTCCTGCAACCAATGCCCTCAGCGGAGGTGAGCCTTTCATACCAGTATTCGATGGAAACAATAATCAAGCAGGATACTGGGACGGAGCACCGGTTAAGGATAGATTTGACCAATTATACAAGGAGATACAATATCTACGCTCCGAGTTAAAGGGTGTACGGGCTTCTGCTAACAATGGAGGTGGCAACTAC